CAGGCATCCACGGGTCTCTCTTCTTATGAGGACACCAGTCATATTGGATTAGGGCTCACTGGGGTGACCTGTTCTAACTTAATTACCCTTTAAAGGGCCTGTCTCCAAAGAGTCACATTCTGACGTGCTGGGAGTCGGGGCTTCCACGTACGTACGAATTTGGCGGGTGGGTGGGTGGGGGTGTGTCCCAGTTCAGTCTCCAGCACTGTCACCAAATCTTCAAAAGCCTGGGTTAGATATGAGCTCAGGCGAGTTCGCGCCCCAGAAGCCTCCCGTCCGTCCCTTCCCATCGGTCCTGCTCCAGCGTAAGGCCCTGTGGTTCTGCCCCTCGCACGCAGTCTTTTGGCCCGGTGCGGACTTACTGCTACTTGTGTGTCGTCCAGTCGGCCAGCCGTGTGCTGGCAAGTGTTTAGCGGCCAGCTTTTGGGTGCAGGATGGTCGTGGGACGCTGCGCTACAGTGTCTGCCAATTTCTGTGGTGTAAATGTGCCCGGCGTGGCCGGTTGCAAGCTACCAACATAGCGTCAGTCGGCTCTGCAAATTCCAGAAACTCTAACAGCCTGCTCTTGTGAGCAGGTACAGCCCAGCCCCAAGTCCCCTGCCAGGGTGCAGACTCCACTGTGGGTGGGAGCCTTGTCTTCCTTCTCCACAGTAATGTCTCCAAGTCTAGAACAGTCCCCAGGAGAAAAGTACTACTCAGCAATGATTTGTTGAATGGATCGAGTTCCTTCATCCAGCTCTGAAGACCTTCTGTGAGTTCGTCCTTGTGGCCGCCCGCATCTTCTTTCTGGTTCTTTTGCTGCCTGGTCCCCCCTAACCTCCAGACCCTGTGTACCCTCCCTTGGTTGTGTCCAGGTCCCCCAAAGGCCACATGTCCTCTCATTCTTCTCTGCCCAGACAGCCCTAACGCTAGATGACCTGTTCTGGCCTTCCAGACCCAGCCGATTGCAGGCAATGTTCTTCTCAGTCCTGTGGGGCAACATGACGTCTGGGGCTCCCCCAGCCCCTGTGCCCCACCCCCTCTGGCCCCCACCACAGGTGGCTACTGCTTCCTCTGCCCCCCTGGGGGCTGCTCACCCAAGAACCTGGCCCGAGGCGGGGCTCACCGAGTGGGTGAGCAGAGAAGGCCGGTTACTGGGGGAGGGTGCTAGAGGGCAGAGGGAAGGACTCACCTTGCAGCACAGTTTGGCCAAAGGCGGCTCTTGCCCTGAAAGAATGAAATTCTCTATTTGTGAAAGAATGGAGAAAGAGATGAGCAATTAAATGCCTGAGCCCAGAGTAATGGTGATTAAGGAATGTTGGGAAAGGTCATCACTACAGCCTCCGACAGCGTTGGAAAGCTCTTGACCGCCAGTGAGCGGGAGAGTGTTTGGGCGGGAGGGGCCGAGTGTTATCAGAAGATGCCAGGCCCCTCATTCCGGCCCCCGTGAGGTCACCGAGCAGTGCGAGCAGGGCTGGGTGTCACCGTTTGTGCCCCACCTCAACTCCCTGGCTTTTGCGAGGCAATTTGGCCTGGGGGATGAGAAGGCTCCTGGGAAGATCTGGGGAAGGGGCTCCGGCTGCAGCTCGGACAGCAGGACAGTGTGATCTGTAAAATGGGAGGACGGGATTTGTCTCACAGTGGTAGGATTAAATGGGATAACGCTGGCCCCGTGCCTGGTAGGGAACTTGGTATACAGTAAGCACCCATTGAATGCAGTAGGACACTGCATGTATTTATTCGCCTGAACATCACCCCCTGAGGCAGCAGGGGCTCTGCATCTGCCCCCCTGCGTACGCTCGTACGTATGCTGGGCACTCAGGACGCACTTGTCACTTGTCACGGCATGAGCGACCCGATTACATAACCGCCTTCTGGTAACAGAGCAGGGAGGCAGCTCCGGCGGCGCGTTCCCACCGCTCTGCCGCAATCTGCCCGTTTCCCCGCTCGCCTGCGCGCTCCTGACAGGCAGTGACCACACTCAGCGATGACTCCGCCCGTACTTCTCTAAACACTTGTTGCCCGGGGCCGCGGAATCCCCAGGACCCGGCTCGTCAGGCCGCCGATGACACGGGCCGGCAGCCCACTTTCCCGTTAGCGGAGCGCGGGCAGGGGCGGCCAGTTCTGTTTGGGGAAGGGAACCGAACGTGCAGCCCCAGGGAGCAGGGACCTTGCCCAGGCCCCCGTGAAGCAGGAAATGAGCCCTGGCCCGACCCACGCCACAGCCTCTCTTTTTCTGAAGCTCACTTCTCCCCTCCCCGGGCCCCCGAGCCTGCCCTCATCCTGGAAGGTGACAGGCTGTCCGTAGTCTTGGGAATACCCGCTGACAGCTGGGGGACAAGTTCATGGACTAGCAGTACTGTGGTGCGAAATAAGTAGATTAATAACAACGACTTTAATTGAGCACCTGTTCTGTGCTTGGTCCTATGCTAAATGAGATTTTGCTTCATTTACTCCAAAGAGGCACCTGCTGTTCCCCAAACACTGTTCTCTGATGTAGCTGGGCCTTCGCTCAGGCTGTTCCTCAGTTTTAAATGCCCTTCCTGGTAAATACTCATCCTTTGGCACCCAGCTCCTTCACCACCTCCCCTCGGAATCCTTCCTCTGCTTGACTGAGACAATAAAACCGTAGCCTTTCGTGGGCCCCTGTGTGTCTGTCCCGACTGCGCTGGGGCCCTCCGACCCCTGGGCCGGCCACGTCCCCTCCTGGTCTGGGGTGTCCTGCTCATGGTGGGGGCACTGCAGGTGTTGGCTTCTTCCTTCTCGGTTCCTTGGCGCCTCCTCTCCCTCTCCTGTGTGCCTCATCTCTTTGTCTTTATGTCATATTTTTGCCTTTATTCTAAGAACAATGCTCGTCACAGCATAGGCATTTGTAAGTAGAAGTGGAAGGACACAGATGAGTCAATGACCTCCTGGCAGGACAGAGGCATTCGGTTATTTGTCTACAGAAGCCATGGTCACCCCAGCAAGAAACCGTCAGAGCAGGGAGGGAAGGAGAGGATGAAGCCAGAGGAAGGAAACCAATGGGAACAGGTGTTGGAACTGACATTTTCTGAGCACCAGGCATGTTTCATTTATTTCTCACCATAATCCTATGAAGTGGGTATTATGTTACCACCTTCAAGATGGAAAATGAACGCATAGAGAGGTGAGGCGACTTGTCCAAGATCACACAGCAAGCAAGGGGCAGAGCTGGGATTTGAGCTTCATCTGCCAAGTTCTACCAGTTGGACAGAGAAGGTGGCGGGTCCCTGTCCCTGGGTGGGGAGAAGTGAGTAGGGACTGCAGGACACTGGGGAAGAAGGGTGGGTCAGAGCCAGACCCTAGGAGTGCACCATCCCTGCCTTCCAGATGTCCCATGTCATGGTTCCCCAAGACAGATGTTTGCTGGCGTGTGGGTTCACCCCAGACTCCCAATATATTTAACCACCTTCCCTTAGACTTCTGCTTTTCCAGGAATTTTTGTCTTTTTTAATCTAATATTGACTCTGTTTCCTTTCACTCCCTGGCCCAGGTTTTGGGTTACCTTAACCCCACTGGATTGTGCAACACCCACCAAAGGCTTCAGGAACCCGCAACTTCTCAATACTGCTGAACTGGGTGAAATTTCCCAGTAACCACCCCCTCTGCCTGACTAATGCTTCATAGCTTGGCAATGCAATGTCCTATTTTTAAGGAACCCAGTCATTTGGTTTAGATTCTTTATTTGTTTTATTTTAATGACCTTCTGAATCATTCATTTTTCTGCTTTTGAACTGATTCACTCTTTGCCACTTCCTTGTATAGAAATCCAACCCCTCCTTTAAGGTTTAGCACCAACAATCACCTTCTCCCCCAAATTATCCTCATCCATACCAGCCCCTCCAGGAAGAAGCAGCCCCCATCCTCCCTTCCTATGTCATTCATCTGGCATTTGCTATACGATCTTTATCATAATGATAATAACAAAAGCAAATAACATGCCAGCCACTTAAGTCATTTCTTATAATTCTCACTATGACCCCAGGAATAAAGTAATTATTATTTCCATCTTACAGAAAATGAAACTGAGCCTCAGGGAGTCAAAGCCTCTTGCTCAAGGTCACACAAAGTAGGGGTGCGGCTGAGATGCTTGGCCAGCCCAGCCAGACTGCGAGCGAGGATCTTGAAAGGCAGCTATGTGCATGGGGTGGGGGTGGGGAGCTGGCACCGTGCTTGGCTCTTTCTTGGCTCTTTCACAGCAAGAGGAAAGAGGCATTCAATTATTTGTCTATGGAATCCATGGTCACTCCCAGCAAGTAATCATCAGGTTTTGATGTCTGTCACCCCTGCAGGCTGTTCTGTTCCCTGTTGCACTGTACACCACAAATACCTGGGAACAAGTAGCTGGTGTTCCACTAATATTGGCCAATGGCTGGAGGGCTTCCTGTCCTTTCTACAGTGTTTGCTGCTTGGAGCCTTACACAATTTTATATTTCTTACCACATCAAGTGCTTGGTAGCAATCTCAACCAATGCACATTGAATGAAGGAAGTAGGACAGGCATGGGCTTGGAAGATACCAGCGGGCTCATTTTCTAGCTGAAGATCTTTCGAAAATTATAGCTCAGGGTGAACACTACCAGACAAGATCTCCTCATCACTTTTTTTTTGTTCAATTTGAACTAAAAAAATCTTACAGACGAAGGGTTTGGTTAAGTTCATTCACCACACATTTAATGGGTATGCTGGAGACAGCCACAAGCAACTAACCAGGTGGAGTTGTCCATCCTCCCTCTCACTTCTTCTGGGAGACAAGCTCCCTAGTGCCCCAAGAGCAGGCAAGGTTGGAACCTTGGAAACAGGGAGAGGAAGGGGACAATGACCCTGTCTGGTCAAAAGGACCATGGGGAGGCTGGCTCATCCCTCATGGAACATGCAGAGGACAGGCCTTTGGACCACGAAGTGACAATAGAAGAACTAGACGAAGTGGGAAAGGTCTGAGAAGGATAATAAAAATGAGAAGCCAGTTGGGAGTGGCAAATGGAAGCAAAGAACACGAAGGGTCTTCTAATCATTCGATTTATTGCTTTTCCGTTCAAATTCTGTTTTATCTTTCATGAATATTTCCAGCCTTGTTTTCTCTCTGTCTGTCCTTTCCTGATAGGCCTGTGCCCAGCCTTCCTTGGCGACCCACAGGGACATTTCTTCCCAGGTAGGACTTCTGCCACCAGTATCTCATTGGCTTTTTGGTTTTGAGTTTGGGGCCCAGCTTTGCCTTTGGACAGGCGCGTCCCTCAGGGAAGCAGGAGACCCCACTGGTCCAACCCGGCGTGGGAGCCCAGCTGCCGGCCGTGCTGGAGGCCTGGCGACAGCGTGCCAGTCCGCACCCAGCACCTCCTGTCTGCTCCCGCCCAGGCTGAGGAACAGCATCTCCACTTGGCAGGTGGGGAGATTTAGGTCCACAGATATTGTTAGTTACTTGAGACCACATGACAAGAACCTTCAGTTGCCAAGCGAGGGACAACATTGGGAGTGACCAGTTGACCTTCTCTAACTTGAGAGCTTCTGGATTGTCGGATTTGGCTGGAAGGGCAGGAATCTCTGTCCCACCTCTCATGGGCATGGATGAGACCTGGATTTAAATGATGGGGAAGTTATAGTAACGGTAGTGACAATGTTAGCACAAACACTTTCTCAGAGTTCACTGTGGGCCCAGCCCCAGGCCACGTGCTTTACCTGCTTCCTCTTGGTTACTTTTCTCAGCCTGATGATTTAGAGCATGAAGCCTAAAGGCAGATGCCTGAGTGTGAGTCTCAGCTCTGCCACTTACTGACTGTGTGACCTTGGGCAAACTACCTCCTTGGGTCTCAGTTTTCTCCTCTATAAAATGGGCTGATAATTGCCCCTGATCATAGATCCCATACACATATTTACTATATGCGTAGTATACAAATATTACCAATTCATTTCCAAAAATCTAGTATTGGGCCGGGCGTGGTGGCTCACGCCTGTAATCCTAGCACTCTGGGAGGCCGAGGCGGGCGGATTGCTCGAGGTCAGGAGTTCGAAACCAGCCTGAGCGAGACCCCGTCTCTACTAAATATAGAAAGAAATTAATTGGACAACTAAAAATATATATACAAAAAATTAGCCGGGCATGGTGGCGCATGCCTGTAGTCCCAGCTACTGGGGAGGCTGAGGCAGGAGGATCACTTGAGCCCAGGAGTTTGAGGTTGCTGTGAGCTAGGCTGATGCCACGGCACTCACTCTAGCCTGGGCAACAAAGTGAGACTCTGTCCAAAAAAAAAAAAAAAAAAATCTAGTATTGGAGTCCTCTTTCCTTGGCCAAAAGGTGAGTATACAAAAAAGAAAACTGATAGGAGGGAATGGGTCATTTTTTTCAGAGCTTCACGCAAAAGCGAAGAGACTTTTGTGATAAAAAAGACATCAGAGTACACAGTTGCAGTCTCCATTTACAAATGGGGGAACAGAGGCTCAGAGAGGGTATGCTAATTGCCTGAAATCACACAGCTAACAAGCAACTGAAGGATTTGAACTCAGACCCATCTGTCATCACAGCCCATGTCCTTGATCCCGATGCCACATGGCCAGTCCTGGTGGTCATGGAAAGATCTGGTGCCTGGCCCTGTGTTGAAAATGGAAATATGAGTCACCAGCCATCCCCGGGGACGGCTGAGGAGTGAGAGGAGCTCAGCTATGGGGCAGAATGTTCCGCCAGATGCTGAGGAGCAGCTGCCAGCACGACTCGGTCTCCTCTGCGGGAGGAAAGGGAGGAGAGCGCGGAGGAGCGGGGCCGCAAGCCAGGGGAGCGCAGGCTGGACCAGGGCCACAGCGTGGTGGCTGACGTCAGGCTCGCACATCTGGCCTCTGGAATGCTCGGGCCCCAGGGACCAGGCCCAAGTTTCTGCTGTTCCTCGCAGCAGGTTCCTCCTCTGAAATAACCCAGGCTTGTTGTCAAGAGAAGTCTTGGGTTTTCAGGCTCTCCTAGCCCAGCCCCGTGGTGACAAGGCAAATGGTCTCCGCTGCCTGCGGAGGAAGACCAGGTCTCCCGACAAGCAGCAGAGGCGCCAGGCTTCGGCGGGACGGCTGTGGGGAGGGCCCCTGGCTGCACGCCCAGCGCAGGGCTTCGGCGTCCTGTCTGCGGCATGAGGGCCCTGTCCTTCCTCTGCAGGGCCTGGAGACCGGGGCGCGCAGGACGCCCGGCGGCGGACGTCAGTTGGCGCTCGCTGCCCACCTGCCCGAATCCCCGCACGGACGCGTGGACGCGGGCCGGCGGCCCGGACAGCGCTGGGGCCACGGCCAGGAGGCTGGCGCCGTGCCCACCGCTCTCGTCCGTCCCAGGCCTTGTGACCGACCGTCTCCTTGGGCTCCAGGTTTCACTTTGCTCCAAGGAGAACGAGGTCCTGCCTGGCGTCTTCCACGCACCGAGCTGAGGGCGCGGAGCAGGGAGGCGCCAGGCCTCCCGCCAGCCGTGCCTGTTGGTGGGGCCTCGCTGCGTTTCTGATGCTTGTGGTGCTTCTACCCGGGAAAGTTTGGGACTGGCCAGAGTGACTTAACGACTTCGGTGATTCATTTTGTTCCCAAAGGAAACAAAAGCCCAGGTCTTCCCAAGGCCCCTCTGCTCTAGCTGGCCTGGCCCCCCGGTTGGGGAATGAGTCACCTCCCGGGGTGCTCCTATTTTCACTTTGCCTTCAGAAAAGCAAACAGCAGCTTCCTCTTTCCTTTGCTCTTGGGGGGAAAGGTGAGCATAGAAAGGGAGGCCTGAGAAGAGGAAGCCGCTCACGGCTGCCATCGGGAGGGACGGGGCTTCCAGGAGGGCGTTTGGAGCCAGGGCTGCGTCTCTCCTGGTGACGGTTCTCTCTGCCTGGCGGCAGGCGGGGCCTGCAGCCTGAAGTCCAAATTCCTTACCCAAAAGTGGAAAAACAACCCACGTCCACAGTCTGCTGGAATTTTAACAAGTATCCTCCATAATATACTTTGCCTGGGGCACTAGTCAGTGACTCGCTGCGTGGATAAACATTCGACCTCCATGTCCTCATCCACAAAATGAAGATCATCCTATCAGGCTGGCAAAATTGTCACGGCAGCAAGCTGGTAATGAGAGTGTAGCACGGAGCAGGTGGCCCTGGAGGGACAAGTGGCTCCCTGAGCTTCAGTGAGGAACCCTGGAGGAGAGGGACTTGTGTCTATCCCCCTCGGTGGGGCTCCGCTTACCTGGAAGTCAGACTCCGGGCAAAGGCTGGGCCCTCGGTTCTCTGAAGCCCACTGCAGGCCCAGGGGGACTGAACAGGAATTCTGGGTGGTGGCCAAGAGTCTCAGAGCCCAAGCACATTTCTTTGAAGCCTCAGCTGAGGCCGTCAGGATCACAGAGGACGGAAAGAAGAGGCAGGATGGCTGGGAGGCCGTTGTCTCCGGCAGGGCTCGTGGGCGGAAGCACTGTCCCCTCTGGGCTGCAGGCTTTGTTTGGGATGGTCATTCCTCCCTCACAGGGCTGCAGGGACGTGGGCACGGTTTAGTGGTTAGGAGCCCAGCCCTTGGGTTCAGATCGGCATCACGAGAGGCCCTCAGCGCGTGCAGCCCGGGCCGCGCGGCCCACGGCGAGTGCAGCCCAGGCAGCGCGGCCCACGGCGAGGATGGTCACAGCACCTGCCCAGAAGGAGCCTGCGAGGGTGAACGTCAGGTGCTCCTGGTGGTGGGCCGGAGCACGCAGTGACCGACGGCTGCTATTGATGTTATATGGACCACCAAGTGGCGTCTGTGGCATCTAGCAGGTGTTCAGGGCATGCAAGCTGCTGTGAGGGAGGCGATGCTATTAACAGACAGCACGAAGATAGAACCCCGGAGTCTGAGCCATCAAAGAGACGGCGAGGGCCAGAATCTTATTTCAGATCATCCCCCTGTCACCACGAGGGCGTGGAGGCCCAGAGGGAGAGACGCCGGCCCGAGGCTGCCACAGCTGAGGCAGAGGCAAGCCTGGAGCTGGCCGCCCTGTCCAGGGCTCCTGGCCACCCCTGCTTGGCTCAGCAGACGGGGCCACGTAGGGTGAGGACACGCACCCGTCCCCCAGGAATCGCTGTGTGACTGCAGTGGCCGGGAATGAGGGGCTGTAGGCTGGCCGGCTCATCAGAAAGGCCTGGCGGGAGCTGACCGTGCGGCAGGAGTGCCGACGCCTGTCAGAACACGCTGCCCAGCGAGTCACGGCGACAGCTCCGCTTTGGGAAGAAACCCAGCTCCCCGGGCTCGCACATGCACACGCGTGCAAGCGTGTAGCTTAGGGACAACTACTGCAGATAGTGACAACGGCCAGCATCTGGCAAGCACTGACTGCCCACCAGGCGCTGTGCCTGGTGCTCGCATTCACCAATCCTCGGGGCAACCCCACGGGGTGCGCACTCCATGACCCCAGCACACGGAGGCACAGAGAGACCCAGGAACTTTCTCTCTCTTTTTTTTTTTTTTTGACCCAGACTAGAGTGCCGTGGCTTCAGCCTAGCTCACAGCAACCTCAAACTCCTGGGCTCAGGCGATCCTTCTGCCTCAGCCTCCTGAGTAGCTGGGACTACAGGCATGCACCACCATGCACGGCTAATTTTTTTCTATATATTTTTAGTTGGCCATTAATTTCTTTCTATTTTTAGTAGAGACGGGGTCTCACTTTTGCTCAGGCTGGTTTCGAACTCCTGACCTTGAGTGATCCTCCTTCCTCGGCCTCCCAGAGGGCTCAGATTACAGGCATGAGTCCCGTCGCCCCGCCCCAAGGCACTTTCCAAGGCCCCACAGCTTGCCCCTGGTGGAGCTGGGACTGCAACCTGGACGGCATGGCCCTGTGGCCCTCAAGCCAGCCTGCTGCCAGCCTCCATTCCTCACGCCGGTGGGGCGTCCTCACCGCCTCACACGGCTTCTGCCTCTGTGATCTCATGGTCTCCTGGAGGGTAGTGCCGTGAGGTCAAAGCGTCCTGGCCCTGGGCTGAGCACCGACTAGGGTCTCATTTGCTCAGGGAACTTCCAGACCCTACCACAGGCCAGGGCCTGAGCCAGGTAGGGGACCCCAGTGAGAGTGGGACCAGGTTTCGTGCTGGCGATCGCAGGGCATGTGGCCTTGACCCGGGATTCTGGTCACGCTCTGTGCCTGCTAGGCACCTTGGCCAGCCCCTGGGCCTGGGTTTTCCCCATCAGAATGAGGAGGCCGGGGGTAGGGGATGGTCGTGAGAGGCACATTCTGCCGGCTGAGGCTGCGGGGCTAGGACTTGCCGAAGGCCCCTGGCCTAGCTGGTGTCAGCCTTGGGCTCTGGTCCAAGGGTCCAGTGGGCAGCCCCCTGCTGGTCCTTCCGGGCCTGAGGAGGCAGCTTGCTCCCAGTCTGGCCCCATCTAAGGCTCATGCTATGTCTCAGATCCTTGTTTTGCCTCATCACATGCTGGCTCACAGAGTGACATCAAATGTCCCTATGAGTCCTTCCTCTGAGCTGATAACCTCACACTTCCATCCCAATCTGGGAAAGGTCTCCTTTTGTCTGTGTCCTCAGGAGGAAGTTCAACAGCACCAAAGACATCCAGACATACTGAGTCTGCTCTTCAACGTCCCTTTGCAAACATTTTCTTATTTCCAATTAAATGACAGGCGCCATTTACCGAGGGTTGCAGGTACAGGATTCTTTATACATGCCTCTAACCCTCTAGTCCTCACAAGAGGGGGTATACCTTCGTGGTATTATCATGACAATGCATTTTGCAAAAGAAGAAGCAAAAGGTCCGAAAAGCAAAAACAAGGGGAAAAAACCAAAAAAGGGGGCCGGGAACGAACCGCAAAAGGGGCGGGCGCCTCATTCCAAAGCCCAGGGCATTTTCTTCCCTGTGGCCACGTTGTTGCTCTCCTGTCACCCAGAGCACCTACGCCGTGCCATGCGCCCTGCTAGGTGCACAGTGAGTGGGCCAGGCCCTCTTCGCCTGAGCCATCGTCTACAGGAAGGCCCTGAGGTGGTGTCAATATTCATCAGAGGCAAAATGAAAGATATCCATGCCTCGGCCCAACTCCCCCCTAGCTCTACACCTGCCAGCTATGTGACCCTGGGCAGTCGTCTTCCCTCTCTGCTTCAGTTCCACGCTGTGAAACGACAGCAATATTAATTTCCGCCACATCGGTGGTTGTGGAGAATGAATTAGGAAATGCACATCAATCAATGACACCAGTGTCTGGCCCAGAGAAGGTGCTCAGAACCCAGTCAGGGTCTGTCTTACGCCACCTGCAAGCACATTCTGCCAAGCCGTTGTCATTTGCTAGCCCTGTTTGGCAGCTGAAGAAACTGAGGCTCCAGGGGACCTCATGGCATATCCAAGGGCTTGGGATAAGAGGTGAAGCTGAAATGGAGCCCTCGAGGGCCCCAGGTACATGCTCTCTGTCCCCTGACACCTGCAGTCCTGCAACCCTCCCCTCTGGGTCCTGAGGAGAACTGGGACGTGAGGCATTACGCAGGTTGCTGGCCTGCAGCAGAAACCTCAGGAAGTACTGGGCTGAGAAAACTTCTAAGAAAGAGGGAGGCAAAATAAAATAAAATAAAAAATTAAAAATTAAAAAAATTAAAAAAATTAAAAAAAAAAGAAAGAGGGAGGCAGGAAGGGACACACCTGTCCTGGCCACAGGGCCAGAGGTCAACCTAGCTGCCAGCCCCGAGGCCAGCCCTGGAGGGGTCCAGACTCCAGCCCGGTTTGGCTCAGCCCACGCATGAAGTCTGTGGCCTGCTGTGGACCTCCTCCTTCTGGATCCTTCTCTGGGCCTGCCTCTCACCACCTTCCTGAGTAGATGCCCCAGGCCGAGGCCTGGGGTGAGGTGGCCAGGGCCGGGCAGGAAGCCCTGGGCCCTCCACCATGCAGGTTCTGTGAGAGCGCTGTGGAGCCCGCACTTTGTGGCCAGGGAACTTAGCTGTGCCCCTTTTGCGGGACCTGGTCATGCGACCAGTCGGCTCTGACCCCCACCCTGTGTGCTCGTTTGTAAACAGGGGACATAATAGTACTGCTGCCCTGGGGTAGGTGAGGCCTCATTTCTCTCAGCCCCCGGCCTGGAGCAAGCACCCCAGTAACGCCGCTCCTGCGCGGCTGGGTGGGGAACAGCTGCCGGCCCCTGCTCCAGGCAGGCCTAGGGCTGGCGCGGGGATTTCTCAGGCTTTCTCAGGCTTTATGTTTCCTGGGGGTCTTCCTTAGGTACTGACATTACCTGGGCCCCTGCTCCGAGTCTAGCAGGGAGACCCCCAGGCAGAGTCCTGGGGACAGTGTGGGTGGGGGGCTGTGGGGTCCTGAAACTCAGGAGCCCATGTGGCTCAGGGCCAGCACCCAGGGACCCTGAGCCTGGCCTCAGCACCCGTGTCGGCAGCACAAGGGTCCTGCGTGGCCTGCACAGAGCACCGCGTGGCCTTTCTGCCGAGTCATGCCGCCCTCGGTGACTTCTCCCAGGAGAACATTCCTGGGAGTGCTCTCTGAAACGCCAGAGGCGGGGCCTGCAGGCTGTGTCAGAGTGAGGTCACCAGAATGACTAGGCTGCATGCATGACAGTGACCCAGCAGAGCCCCAAAGCCAGTGGGCCCAGGGACCGGGGACCCCCACCTGACCCCAACCCCAGGGCCTCTCCAGCAACTCCCAGCTTCTCAGTTCCCCCGTCCCACCGCGGGCTCAGGCTGCCAGGCCCGGACGGGGCCCAGGGACTTCTGCAGGTCACCCACCGCCCGCCGGCTGTGGCCTGGCCTTTCCACGCCATTCATGGGCGTTTCTTGTCCGCTGAATAGATAAAGAAAAGGGAAGTGAAAGAAGCTCGACCTGTGGGCTCTTGAATAGCTGGCAAATCGTTGTATTATTACAGATCTTAAAAATGATACTGACTTGGAGTAAAAACGCCAAAGCCAGAAAACCACGTACACGGGAAGGTGCAAGTGTGCTAAGACTCTCTAAAAAGGCGGGAAGCCCAGCACACTGCAGTCCCTGTGCCAAGCCCCGTGCAGAGCCCTCCACTTGCGTTCCTCCCTCCACGACACATGCTGGGCATCAAAGACACCCTTTGGGGTAGTAGTTTGCGGCTCTCACTGTACGCCGGGACCCTTGGAAGATGTCCAAAGGCCCCACGCCCAGGCCGTCTAGGGCGAATTAGCCAGAAGTGCTGGAGGTGGGCCCAGGTGGCAGGATTTGCAGAAGGTCCCGGTGCGCTGCCTGGGCTGCCAACACTGCCCTGGGCTTCTGCTAGCCGTCTAGCAGAAGGGGAGGAGCCGGCCGTCTGGTGGCCCGCGGGGTGGAAAGGAATGTGGCCAGGGGTCTCTGCGTCTAAATCTCACAGCGCTGCTTTCGGTCTGGGAAAATGGACCAACAAAAAAGTTAGGGAAATATCCCTTTATTTCAATCACACCCTAGTCGCCCTCTCTCTCCTCGGGCAGATCGCCGTGGTGGCCTGTCCCGTGGAGCGCTCACCCTGGTTCTCCCGGACCAGGAAAGCCTGGGTCCCGCCTGCTCCTGTCCACGGAGGAGTTTCAGGGACACTCACCCCCTTGCTGGAATTCGGTGTTTTGACAATTTGGTAGCTTGCTAATGTATTGTGTGTGTGTGTCTGTGCGTGTGTTTGTGTCTGTGTGTTTCTGTGTATCTGTGTGTTTGTGTTTTTGCGTCTCTGTGTGCGTCCGTGTCTGTATGTGTGCCTGTGTGTGTGTGTGTGTGTGTGTGTGTGTGTGTGTGTGCGGGCCACCTAAATGACTCTTGTAGGAGTCGTTGTTGCCACTCCCCCAGGCCCCAGGTGAGGCACAGACTTAGAGGCCCAGGAAGTTAAGCTGGTGGCTGGCACGGTCACTCTGTGCTCTCTGCCCTTCAGGCCAGGCGCACCCGCCCGCCAGGAGCAGCCCCGCCCGGGCTTCCCACTTGCTCAGCCTGGCTCCCCACGGGCCCCTAGACCAATGGCTGGCACCTTCAGCAAGCTCTTTGCCTCTCTGGGCCTGCAGGTCCTGGGGGTTAAAATAGGGATCATGACACTCATCAGTGGGCTCCGTGCTTTCGGCGTGTCACTGTGCTGAGGACTTTGCCTTGTGAGCTCAGCTCCTCTTCACGCTGCCAAATGCAGCGAGTCCTGATAGCCGGCAGCATGCAGCCCACCCTGCCTTCTCCGCACGCGGCCGCAGGGCTCCTGCTTGGCTTAGACAGGCCCGAATTCTGTCCATGGCCGTGGAGACCACGTCTCCCCCACCCTGTCCCCACCCTCATTCTGCTCCTGCCACACTGGCCTCCCCCTTCCTTCCTGCATTCATTCTTCCTCTCTCCCTCTCTTCTTTCATAAGTATGATTTTATTGTCCAGATACATCAGATTCTCCAACCAACGTTTTCTTTTATCTGTATTTTCTCTCTACGTACTTTCCATTCTCCGCCAACCTTTCCAGAGAAAGAGTGTTGTCTGCGCACTGCGTTCACGTTGAGCAGGCTTTTCCTCCTTCGCCTAGCATTCTCGTACGTCTAGAATAAAATCACATGATAGCCAATAGACTGTATTTTTGCCATGCTAGTTTTTTCTTTTCTCTTTTTATTACTCTCACACTTACATAGGTCTCAATCAAAGACCTCACTAATGAAGTAAAATTCAGAAGTGACATTCTCTTTTTGCTGCCTCTGGCTTTCCAATCACACTTCCCACCTTAGCAAGCCTTCCCCAGTCCCACACGGTCTGGACTTTGTTCCAGGATTCTGAGAGTAAAGGCTACGTGTCCTCGAGGAGTTTACACGGAAGCGGAAGCAGAAGCGGAGAGCCCACAGTGAGAATGAACATCACCAACACCGATCCCGCACGGGGCGGTGGGCACAGTGAGCGCTCTATCCCAGCCTATCTCAACCAGACTGAACCTTGAACTCTGCCTCCTGCGGCTCCCTGGCCAGGAGTTTGTGCAGAGAACTCTGCGCTGAGATTGTCCAAAGCCACAGGGGAAAAGGTGGAAAATTCACCATTGCAATGGCCAGAAAGAGCAATTTATAGCTTTTCTTCCTTTTTCTTCCAATTTATAGCTTTTTCTTCCTTAAGCTCCTAATTTAACTTCATACTTATTCCTGAATCTTGGCTAAACTCCTTAGGCTTAACCTATTGGCTTCGAAGCTACTGGGCAGGTGCATTACCCATCTGCTTCCTTATCACTTATTTTAGTATTCAGTTATGTACTCTTGTTTGGAATTAGCATGTTGAGTACCTCTCCACTCCACTCCATTCACATAAACACAGATAATCACACTAAAAACCAACAACAGAAGAAATACCAAGAAGAGGCCATCCCAGCATCAAGAGATATTCTATTAGTAAAACTATAGGAACTATTAGTAAAACTATTCTATTAGTAAAACTAATGTTCTCACTTGCAGCCAAAAAACTTTACACCAAAAACTGAATTGTATGTAGACATACTAACACCAAATATTTATTTATAAGTTTTTGACATAATAATTTTTTTTTTTGAGAGTCTCACTTTGTTGCCCAGGCTAGAGTGAGTGCCGTGGCATCAGCCTAGCTCACAGCAACCTCAAACTCCTAGGCTCAAGCAATCCTCCTGCCTCAGCCTCCCAAGTAGCTGGGACTACAGGCATGTGCCACCATGCCCGGCTAATTTTTTCTATATATATATATTAGTTGGCCAACTAATTTCTTTCTATTTATAGTAGAGACGGGGTCTTGCTCTTGCTCAGGCTGGTTTCGAACTCCTGGCCTTGAGCAATCTTCCCGCCTCGGCCTCCCAGAGTGCTAGGATTACAGGCGTGAGCCACCGTGCCCGGCCGACATAATAATATTGACCATAGTTATTTTAACTATCTTTTTTGTTAATACCCCAGTATGGACATGTAAAAAAAAATTAAGCTGAATTTCTCTTAGATTAAGTTTAATTAATATTGCAAATGTTTTCAAATAATAGTTATTTATTTTTTTTTTTTTTTTGAGACAGAATCTCGCTTTGTTGCCCAGGCTAGAGTGAGTGCCGTGGCGTCAGCTTAGCTCACAGCAACCTCAAACTCCTGGGCTCAAGCGATCCTGCGCTCAGCCTCCCCAGTAGCTGGGACTACAGGCATGCACCACCATGCCTGGCTAATTTTTCTATATATATTTGTTTTTTTTTTTTTCTGCATTCTCATTTCTTTTTTTTTTTTTTTTTATTTTGGCATACTATGGGGGTACAGATGTCAAGGTTTCAATAAATGCCCATTTCCCCCCCTTCTATATATATTTGTTGGCCAATTAATTTCTTTCTATTTATAGTAGAGACGGGTCCCGCTCTTACTCAGGCTGGTTTCGAACTCCTGACCTTGAGCAATCCGCCCGCCTCGGCCTCCCAAAGTGCTAGGATTACAGGAGTGAGCCACCACACCTGGCCCAAATAATAGTTATTAATAGACATACTAAATAAAATATTGCATCAACATAAAAACTGGGACCTTGAACTCAATTAAAAAATAGACTTATTTTAGAACATTTTCATCGTTCCTCAGTAAGACCCCTTCCTAATACCTATTTACGGATAATCATGTTTCTACTCCAGGACTGGGCTATAGATCTATACACTGTCCCTCTAAATTTTCCTTTTCTGGACATTTCATAGAAGTGGAATAAGACAATATGTAGTCTCTTCTGTCTGACTTCTTTCACTTATCCTAATGTCTTGGAGGTTCATCCATATGTTAGCCTGTTAAATGGACATTTAGGCTGTTTCCAGTTTGAGGCTATTATAAATAATGTTGCTATGAACATTGACTCATAAATCCTATGTAGATGTATATTTTCATTTCTTTTGGGTAGATACCTAGGAGTGGAATTGCTGAGTTATATGGTAATTTTTTATGTTTAACTTTCTGAGTAACCTTAAAACTGTTTTCCAAAAAGGCTACACCATTTTGTATTCCCACCTACGGTGGATGAGTGTTCTTGTCTTAGTCTATTTTCTGCTGCTGTAACAGAATGCCACAGACTGCGTAATGTATAAACCAAACAAATTTACCTGGCTCATGGTTCTGGAGGCTGGGAAGTCCAAGATAGAGGGGCAACATCTCCAGAGGGACTTTTTGCAATGACATAACATGGTGGAAGGCGTCACAAGGGGAGCAAGTACATGAGACAGAGAGAGGATGGGGGCCAAACTTCATTCTTTTATCAGGAACCCACTCCCACAGTAACTACCCCACTCCTGCAAAAACAGCATTAATCCATTCAGGAGGGCAAAACCCGCTTAAAAGCCCCACGATTTAATGCTGTCACAATGGCAATTAAAGTTCAACAGGGGCTGGGTGTGGTGGCTCAGGCCTGTAATCCTAGCACTCTGGGAGGCCGAGATGGGCGGACTGCTCGAGGTCAGGAGTTCGAAACCAGCCTGAGCAAGAGTGGGACCCTGTCTCTACTCTAAATAGAAACAAATTAATTGGCCAACTAATATATATAGAAAAAATTAGCCAGGCATGGTGGCGCATGCCTGTAGTCCCAGCTTCTCGGGAGGCTGAGGCAGGAGGATCACTTGAGCCCAGGAGTTTGAGATTGCTGTGAGCTAGGCTGATGCCACGGCACTCACTCTAGCCTGAGCAACAAAGCGAGACTCTGTCTCAAAAAAAAAAAAGTTCAACAGGAGTTTTGGAGTGGACATTCAAACTGTAGCAGTTCTGTTTCTCCACATCTTAGCCAACATTGTTATTAACTATCTTTTTTATTATAGTCATTCTACAACCACAGGTAGTACCTCATTGTGGTTTTGATATGCATTTCCCTAATGACTAATGCTGCTCAGCTTCTTGTCACATGCTTATTAGCTATCAGTATATCTTCTTTGGAGAAATATCTGTTCACATCTTTTGCTCCTTTTTTGATTGGGGTGTCTTCCTGTTATTGAGTTGTAGAAGTTCTTTGCAAATACTGGAAGTGAGTCCTGTATCAGATTTGCAAATATTTTCTCCTAGTCTGTTGCTTCTCTTTCCATTTTCTTAATGGTAGCTTTTTCAGCTTTATTGAGGTGTAACTGACAAATACAATTATATAAATATAAGGTGTACCCTAACCCTAACCCTTATTCATCCTCCATAAATACAAAAGTGTGTACCCTTTGACCAGCATCTCCCCAATTCCCCCTCCCCCAGCCCTTTGTAACCACCATTCTATCCTCTGGTCTTATGAGTTCAACTGTTAAAAATTCCACATGTAAATGAGGTCATGTTCTGTCTGGCTTATTTCCCTGAGCATAATGGTCTCACATGAACATCATTATACCCACCACATAGACTCAACAATTGTTAATGTTTGGCCACATTTAATTAATTTATTTGTGTGCGTATTTTATTTCCAGAACCATTTGAGAACAAATCGCCAACACCATGACACCTTTCTGCCAAATACTTCAGCAGGTATCTATTAAGAACAAGATAGTCTCTTAAAAACCATTGAAGTTAACAATTCCATAATATCACTCCGTATTCAGAGTGAATATCCAATCCGTGTTCAGATTTCTCTTGTCCCACAGAGGGTACTATCAAGTTTTTGGATTTTCACCAATTTGACAGATAAGAAATAATCTCTCAAGTGTAGTATAATTTTCTTGGCTCCTATTATGATTAAGAAAGACCATCTTTTTCCATGTTCTAAAGGTATGAAGTTCTTTTTTTATCTACTCATCTCTTTTGTCCATTTTAAAATCATATATTTGGCTGTTTCATCTCTGTTTTTACGAATTCCTTTGATATTGGTGAAATCATCCTTCACCCCTAAGCTACAAATATTCTCCCCCATTTTTCTTTTTATTATTGTTTAACTTCAATTATGAAACTTTTTGCCATGAAAAGCATTCTAAAAATTTGGCTTTAATTTTTATGTAGTTGAATTTATCAAGATCCTCTTTTATTGGTTCTGGATTTTAAGTCCTAAATAGACTAAAAATTTCCTCATTCCTGGGTTATAAAGGAGTCTCTGCAGTGTTTTCCTCTTGAAGTTGTAAGGTTTCATTTTTAAAATCTGGATCTCTGGCCCATTTGCTATTTATTCAGGTGTTTGGTGTGAGGTTTGGATCCACTTTTATCTTTTTTCCAAATGGCATCTAATTGTACCAGGATTGCTTATTTAAAAGTCTACCATGGCCCAGTGAGTTGAGATGGCATGTTAGTCATGCCTCAAACTTCCTTAGGTACTTGGGCACATTTCTGGACTTTCTATTGTTTTCTATGGGTCTGTCTGGCTGTCTTGTTTCCAACTACACCATTTTAATTACAGGAGCTTTATGGTATTTTTAAAAAATTATTTTAGTTTATTTTTTAGAGACAGGGTCTCTAAAGGCTCATTGCAGCCTTAAACTCCTGAGCTCAAGTGATCCTCCTGCCTTAGCCTACCAAGTAGTTGGAACTACAGGTGCATGCCACCACATCTGGCTAATTTTTATTTTTTGTAGAGATGGGGTCTCACTATGTTGCCCAGGCTGGTCTCAAACTCCTGGCCCCACGTGATCCTCCCACCT